TGTATCATTAAACAGAATTTAGGATTCCTTTTGTAATAATAGCAAGTAAATTTAAAGTAAATTTTCTGATGAGTTACTGATGTCAAAAGGCCACTATTTCATCCATGACCTCAGACAGTTTATCTTAAATTGATGTCAAGCTGACAATCTGGGTTAATGGTTTTCACATGCAGATAGATTTAAAGGCCACTCCTCTGTTCCTGTAATAATACAATAGGCAGGTTGTGAGTCAGTGTGCCCTGGGGCATAGACATGCAAAGGCTCCAACACCTCTCCTACACAGAAGCAAGACACACAGACATTGTGGTGGTTTTATCTTTTGGCTTCTTTTTGTACTCATAATGTGTCTCCTTATGTATGTGATGGTTGTTTTGTGTCTCTTTATGGCCACTTAGTCTCTTTGTAGTTATGTTGTAGGTCTTCATGAATGTTTTGCCCCCTTTTGTAGTTGGTTTATGTCTCCTTATAGTCTCTTTGCAATTCATTGTGCTCTTGTGGTCATTTTAATTTGTCTAACATTTTGCATGTGAGGGCCTGGGGGCAACACAGATTTATTAGGGACTGATTGATAGATTAGGGACTATTGGGGACTGTCTTTTGGTCTCAAAAAATAGTGTGCAATTTTGTATTATTCTTCATTACAGTTTTTCTCAATTGCTAAAACACTAAACCCTATTGTCTGAACCAAATGATCAGTTGCCTGAACCCACTGATTGAATCAGTCACTCTTTTGGCAAAACCATAAGCACTTTTCACCTGTTTAGACACAACTTGCAAACACATTTTCATTGTGATGCACCTGTGTTGCATAATGGTGAGCACAGGTAGCAAAAGTCAAACACAATTAAAGCACAGGTGTCACCGGTTGAACACAACAACTCAAAATTGATAACACTTGTGGCTAATGATGCAAAGGAACATATATAAGCCAGTTCAGAGAGCACTGGTTAGGAGCATCCCATCTATGTTGTTGTTTGGGATAATGTGAGTTTTCACAGAGCCCTCCAGGTTAGAGAGTGGTTCAGTATGAACCAAGATTTTATCAATCTTTGCCTTCCACCGTACTCCCCTTTCCTGAACCCCATTGAAGAATTCTTCTCCTCATGGCGGTGGAAGGTATATGAACGCCAACCTTACACCAGGGTAAATCTCCTGCAAGCCATGAAACTAGCCTGTGGCGACATAGGTGTGGAGGCTTGCCAAGCCTGGATACTGCATGCCAGGGGTTTTTTCCCCCGTTGCCTGGCCAGACAAAATGTGGCCTGTGATGTGGATGAAGTCCTGTGGCCTGAACCAGTACGGAGAAATGATGCTGTGGCTGAGTAATGCACTTCTCATTTGTATATTTTTGTACTTTATTTTTACGTAGGCTTACTGTATACAAGTGCTAAATGCACAAGATTTCTGTTTGTTTTTGTACTGTACAAGTGCTACGTGTAAATGCACAGGATTTCTGTTTTTTGTACTTTTTTTTTTTTTTTACTATGTACAAGTGCTAAATGCACAGGTTTTTTGTTTTGCAACATGCATTTAGCCTACAGTCAACAATAAACATTTATTTCTACAGCTTCATGTCCTGAGCATTGTGTTTTCTATTTTTCTATGTAGTGTTTAGTGACTGCTCAGTAGTGTTTTTAATTTTGATTGACTCGGGGCACGATTTGACAACATAGTTCAGTTGTGAGCACAGATTGAACTGTTTTGAGGTGAAAGTTTGGTTTTGCAAGAAGAGTCTGAGGTTTTGTGAATGTAGCTTGAAAATTGGGTTTTGTGTTCACAGTTTAGGGAAAAGGAGAGCAGCTTTCCAGAAATGTGTCTTAGCAATTGAGAAAAACTGTAATAACTCATTACACTAATGTCAGCAGGGGTTGCCATTTATCTTGGAGATAATCACATAAATTTAAGGATATTTAAAGCAATATGTGTTGACAAATCAACACATATTTAAAGCAATATGTGTTGATTTGTCACAAAGTCAGATGTGAAATTTATCTTTTTAGAAACACACAAACCAGTCTATATATAAGTCTATATAATCTACACTAATAAACAAGCAACTAAAAATGAGATTAGGAGCTATAAAGGGCAGTCTCCAATAAAAACAAAAAAAGGGGTGGTGCAAAAAAGGGGAGGGACTTCAAATCATTTCTAAGCACTGGGGAGGGAGTTATGTATTTTAATCTGGCCTAGGGGAGGGACATTTAACTTTAAATGGTCCTATTTTGTATTTAATTTAATCACTTTCAGAAGGCATGTTTCTCATGTTTCTCAACCATCAGAGGCTAAGTTTTTAAAATCTAATAACAGCCACGGTGCCATGTTACTGCTATTTTTGACACTGCTTCCACTGTTGTGTATGCTACGGTTTTATTTGGGGAAACGATCATTATATGCACATGTTGCTGTCAGCAACATAATCGTTTCCAAATAAAGTAGCTGTTTGTTTTGGTGACAGCTCCCTCCATGCTACGTGCTTGCTGCATTTGCCCCAGACCTACATTTAGCGTCTATATATGGTTAAGTCACTCTTAAAATTTGTGAGGCCTATGTGGGTAGTACATGGGCTGAAAAAATGGGACCTATATGGGATTGTCCATGGGTTCCATGATGGCTACATGCCCACATGGGTCGGTTTACCTGTGGGCCCAATATACAACCCCTGGCAAAAAATATGGAATCACCAGTCTTGGAGGATGTTCATTCAGTTGTTTAATTTTTTAGAAAAAAAGCAGATCACAGACATGACACAAAACTAAAGTCATTTCAAATGGCAACTTTCTGGCTTTAAGAAACACTAAAAGAAATCAAGAAAAAAAAATTGTAGTAGTCAGTAACAGTTACTTTTTTAGACCAAGCAGAGGGAAAAAATTCACTCACTCAATTCCGAGGAAAAAATGATGGAATCATGAAAAACAAACAAACAAACAAAAGAACACTTCAACACACCACTAGTACTTTGTTGCACCACCTCTGGCTTTTATAACAGCTTGCAGTCTCTGAGGCATGGACTTAATGAGTGACAAACAGTACTCTTCATCAATCTGGCTCCAACTTTCTCTGATTGCTGTTGCCAGATCAGCTTTGCAGGTTGGAGCCTTGTCATGGACCATTTTCTTCAACTTCCACCACAGATTTTCAATTGGATTGACTATTTGCAGGCCATGACATTGACCTTATGTGTCTTTCTTCAAGGAATGTTTTCACAGTTTTTGCTCTATGGCAAGATGCATTATCATCTTGAAAAATGATTTCATCATCCCCAAACATCCTTTCAATTGATGGGATAAGAAAAGTGTCCAAAATGTCAATGTAAACTTGTGCATTTATTGAAGATGTAATGACAGCCATCTCCCCAGTGCCTTTACCTGACATGCAGCCCCATATCATCAATGACTGTGGAAATTTGCATGTTTTCTTCAGGCAGTCATCTTCATAAATCTCATTGGAACGGCACCAAACAAAAGTTCCAGCATCATCACCTTGCCCAATGCAGATTCGCGATTCATCACTGAATATGACTTTCATCCATTCATCCGCAGTCCACGATTGCTTTTCCTCAGCCCATTGTAACCTTGTTTTTTTTCTGTTTAGGTGTTAATGATGGCTTTTGTTTAGCTTTTCTGTATGTAAATCCCATTTCCTTTAGGCGATTTCTTACAGTTCGGTCACAGACGTTGACTCCAGTTTCCTCCTATTTGTTCCTCATTTGTTTTGCTGTGCATTTTCTGTTTTCAAGACATATTGCTTTAAGTTTTCTGTCTTGACGCTTTGATGTCTTCCTTGGTCTACCAGTATGCTTGCCTTTAACAACCTTCCCGTGTTGTTTGTACTTGGTCCAGATTTTAGACACAGCTGACTGTGAACAACCAACATCTTTTGCAACATTGCGTGATGATTTACACTCTTTAAGGAGTTTGATAATCCTCTCCTTTGTTTCAATTGACATCTCTCGTGTTGGAGCCATGATTCATGTCAATCCACTTGGTGCAACAGCTCTCCAAGGTGTGATCACTCCTTTTTAACTGCAGACTAACGAGCAGATCTAATCTGATGCAGGTGTTAGTTTTGGGAAAGAAAATTTACAGGGTGATTCCATAATTTTTTCCTCAGAATTGAGTGATTCCATAATTTTTTCCCTCTGCTTGGTCTAAGAAAGTAACTGTTACTGACTACCACAATTTTTTTTCTTGATTTCTTTTAGTGTTTCTTAAAGCCAGAAAGTTGCCATTTGAAATGACTTTAGTTTTGTGTCATGTCTGTGATCTGCTTTTTTTCTACAAAATTAAACAACTGAATGAACATCCTCCAAGACTGGTGATTCCATATTTTTTGCCAGGGGTCGTAGGTTATGCTACAGCTACCTGGGTACCAAGTAGGTATGAGCCCAAAATGTGCATCTAATCTGGGGCCTCCGGGTAAACCCACCCATGCGAGGCATTATGGTATGCGGCCCCATACCAGGGCCCAATTTTCAGTCCATTTACTACCCACATGGGCCCCACATACAAACAGTGGCTGGGTTGGTGGGTAGAGGGTCATGCATTTTCTCCCAGTCACTCAGGGAGGCTCAAAGGAAAAAAATATAGCTCCGGGGAATGGTTAAGGAAAAAGTCAAAAGTCAAGTACAGTCCCTAATCTCGGGGGATATCAATTTAAATTTAAGGATATTTAAAGCAATATGTTTTGACATGTCAAAATGTCTCTTGTCTGTGAAAATAATTCACAGTGCCAAAAAGTAAGCTAATCAATCAAAACACAATTAAACCATGGCAGGTGTTTTCTTTTTTACCCTCAACGATATAACTGTAGCTATGTTTGTTTAACCAATCTCAATTATATTAATTTATTCTTACTGTTATATAGGCTATTAAAGTAGTTTCATAAATGAATTAACATCTGACGGACGAAGGGCGAGAAGATTGTTTCCCGGGGGAAGCGTTTCCTTGTTGCACCCTGGTGTTGCTATGGTTACATCAACACAACTAACGGTAGGACGAGCTGTAACACATGGAAATGGACATTAAACGACACCAAATTCTGTTTTTTTTCAGACGAGGACAGCCTGTAACACTTTTTATAATTAAGATAACTTCGCTTCTGTCATATTTTTTTGTTTTTGTTTAGCTTATAAAAGTTGTGTTAAGTTCATTAAGATAAGTTATTATTTCTGTTGGTCATCAGAACAATGGCGGCTGGAGATAAGATGAAAGAACTAAACATGTCAGCGGATGAAATGGACAGACTGAAAAAAGCTTTCAAAGACGAGAAATTCAGGGACATGCTGCAGGATTACGCACAAGAGCTGTCAGACCCTGAGAATAAGAGAAGATATGAAGAGGAGATCAAACTTTTGGAGCAGGAGAGAGGAAACACTATTGAATTCATCCACCCGGAACCATTCAAGGCTCTCAGGACGAGTGTTAACGGCAAGCAGAAGTGTTTCATCAATATCTGCTCCAGTGAAAAGGTTGGGAAGCCTGAGTGTAAATGGGGGGAGTCTGAGGAAGGCCGCAGGGGACAGTGCTGGTCCCTGCCTCACAGTCTGCACCCAGGGAGACAGGACACAGATCCAAAGGGGAACAAGATCACCATCTATGACGTCATTTTCCACCCTGACACTCTCCACATTGCAGGCAAAAACAAGAGATTCATGGACATGGTGGACAGCACTGCCACTCAGGGAATCCAGGATGCTTTTAAAGTGACTCTGGATAAAAACAACATGAGGCAGATGCGTACAAAATACAAAGGCAACCCACAGCCTTGTGTCATCCGAAAACCAATACCTGGATATAAAGCCAGGGAGCCCTCAGAGGAGTTGGACCCTCTTGCATTCCCATACCCAGATGAAAAAAGACCTCCCATGTCCCTGCAAACCAAGCCCACAGAGTCACCTGCAACTAAAAACAGCAGTGATACACCTACACCTAAAAGCTCCAGCATCCAGCCCCACACAGCCAAAGAACCTACCAAGCCAAACTACACGGTGAAGTATCGATCATTTGTGGATCTACAAGACTTCAGGTGTTCTAGAGACTCTGCCCAAAGCCCCAGGCCCAAGGAGATAGTGGTTACCATCGACCTGCCACTTCTGAAGGCGGCCACAGACGCCAGCCTGGAGGTGAAAGAGAAATGGCTGCTGCTGGAGTCCAAGAAACCGGCCTACAGACTGGAGCTGCCCTTAGCCTACCCTGTGGATGAAGATAAAGGAGAGGCTAAGTTCAACAAGCAGAGAGGACAGCTCACAGTCACGCTGCCTGTTCTTCCTTCTAATGACGCTTTTGATTTTGCTGTAGGGCCTGCTCGGGCTGGTGTTAGGGATGATGGGATACAGGAGGAGAAGAGTGAGGAGGAGGAGGAGCAAAGAGACGTTGAGGTGGATTTGAGGCAGCAGACAGAGGTAGAGGAAAGTGAAGAAGAGGGCGCAAGTGGTCAGGAGAAAGGAGAGGAGAAGATGGGGGAAGGCGTAGCAGAGGAAGAGCGAGTCGGTGAGAATGAAACATGGATTAAGCAGAAGAGGGAAGGAGAAAACAATGAAGACGATAAAAGCGGTGTGGAGGAGGAGGAGGAGGAGGAGGAAACGTGGAAGAAGCAGAAAACAAAAGGCCAGGAGGGTGTGGAGGAGGACAGTGAAGTGGAGGTGGAGAAACTGAAAGAACAGGAGCAGGACAATGAAAAAGAAGATGGAAATTGTAACCTGCAGAAAAGGCAGCAACATTCAACATTCAAGGATTCTGGCGTAAAAAGTTTAAACTGTGATACTAATGATATTCCTGCTGAAGAAGATGATGATAGCAGGCTTGTGTCTTCACCTGAAACAGAGAGACAGCCTGTTGTAATCACAGCTGAACATTCAAGCTTAGGAATTGAGGGAGACTCTTGGTTGGAGTCAGCACCCAAAATGAAGAGTGCAGACGTCAAAAAGGAGCATGAGAAGACAAGAGAGAGTGCACATGGAAAGGAGAAGGTGAGATAGATCCACAAATCCTAACAATCATGTTGAGGAGAAGGTAAAAGTGTGTGGCTGCAAATTACTTTTCCATTTATCTGAGTTTGCCTAAGCACAGATCTGTAGAAGATCCTTAAAATACTGGTCAAACACTTGGGTGTAAAAGTGAGTTTTTCTGGTCATGCTATATCTAGCCCTCAGTCACATGGACTTATGTTTTTTTCCTATATATTCCATGACATCTTAGGAAAAAACAGCAATCCAGTGTTCCCAAAGACTAAATATGGTAAGATAAGACTAGAATTACTGCCTTGCGGTTGTATGCCTCTGCAAACCAGTCAAGTTGCAGTCTGTCCAGACCTACAGTCTATGGTCCAGACTCATTTGTAGCCATGAGAGTAGGCTGTGCTTCAAATATGGATGCTGCTGCAAAGGAGCTATATATTCTAAAACAGCGGTTCCCAACTGGGTCCACATTTCTCTTTAGTCATCAGTTCAAGGTCTACACAGTTCAGTATATTCAGTGTCATAGTTGTGTTCAGCCATGTATTAAAGCTAGTTTGCTGTCTCTGTTAAGTAGCTGTCCATTAGTCACTCACTCTACAGCAGGAAACAGCACTTCAAAGTAAAAGCCCTGTGCTGGAAATTCACTGTACTTCAAAATAAAGTGTGTTTTTTACAAACTTGACACGTTCGTGAGTCACTTGCGGTCCATTCAGAGTGGATTTGTAACCCACTGGAATGGATGCTTCACACACATCTACCCCCGATCTATACCAGGGGTGTCAAACATACAACCAGGGGGCCAGAGCCAGCCCACCAAAGGGTCCAATCCGGCCCACTTGATGACTTAGCACACCTAATATTGATGCTCATGTGATGGCTAAAAGGTTTCAGGAGCAGTTTAAACAGTGAGCAGATACTTCATGTAAAATGCTGCCTCAGAGGCTTTTCCTCCCTGACCACAATACAGCTGTCTGAAATAGCAATGACTACTTACTGTGGTCATATTTAAAGACACTAAAAATTGTGCAACATATTGTCAATCAGCAGCTTCAGCACAAAAGAATCTATAGAACCCTGCTGCTGAGGCACTGACAGGGGATGACTTCAAATGCTTCCTCAACGGCTTCACTTCAGTGGAAAATTATAAACAAAATGCAGATGTAATGACAATGCGTAGTCGACTGACTGAATGTGGAAAAACTGAGACATACAGTTTGCATGTCATTTTTCTGAGAATATCGCAGGCTGTTCATCATTTGTTTTGTAAGTGGATGACCGTTTTCGGAATGTACGTCTTTACACTACAAAAAAGAAAAAAATATGAAGGGGTTGGTATTCATAGGTTATTATGCAGTGGTTTTACTGGTCCGGCCAACATGTGGCCCCCGAACTAAAATGAGTTTGACACCCCTGATCTATACAATCAACACAGTTTCAAGGTGGACACCCAAGATTAGTGTCACCAACTCAGTGTCCGACCAATTGTCTCCACTTCTGTTCCTGAGTTATGATGTTCAGTAACGGCTAGCAAACATAATGTCAAAGTGAAGTTGACCTTTGACCTTTTGGATATAAAATGTCATCACTTCATTATTTTATCCTATTAGACAGTTGTGTGAAATTTTGTCTTGAGCATCATCATTTCTTGAGTTATGCCAACATGTTTTGTGAGGCCACAGTGACCTTTGACCACTAAAATCTATTCAGTTCATCGTTGAGTCCATGTGGATGTTTGCACCAAAGTTGAAGAAATTCCCTCCACGCATTCTTGAGATATCGTGTTCAGAATCTGATGGACAACCCAAAAATGTAGTACTGGCCATCTCTGTTTCCAGCATGGAGCCATAAAAATGGCCTCAAACCAGAAACTACAGGGAAGTATTTGGTATCCATGAACTCATAACAAGTTGAATATCAAAGATATGCACACGTACGCTGTGTAAAAGAATATTTTGCATGGAAAACGTTTATTGAACAAAGTAGTAGCATTTTTCCTAATTTTTGAGTATTGATAAAAGTGTAATTATTCATGTGATCTAAAGATTAGTTGCCCCAAGTTTGCCTGTATCAGATTTTTAAGACTCTGGACTAATCAGAACAAATTTGGTATTTTTCCTTATCATACTAAATAAAGCCTTTGGACTCAAATGGCTGCTTATATTTTTGTGTTCTAGGTAGAAACAGGTGCTGCATTTCTACAACACATATCCAGTGAGGAATCCCAAACTTCCGTAGCAGCCGACACTCACAGCCAGCACATTAAGGACTGCTGCGTTCCCCAGGAGTCCAGCAAGATGCCTGCACCAGTTGTAGATAACAAGTCAAGCAGCTCTGAGGAGCTCGCCATGGTCTCAGTGAAGCCGGAGGAGAGGGAGGACGTCGATGAAGACGACCTGCCGATGGAGCAAATCTTCCACACTACAGAGCACGACAACAAGCCGCCTCTTGTGCTGTTGAGGGAAGTAGATAAAGATGGAAACGTACAGATCATCAGTGATCACTCCACCTCAGCTGGGTTCACCTTCCAAAACTGCCTGATGTATGAGCTGGACTGAGGATGGTGTGCTAGGAGTCAGATGAGGCTGTGAAGAGGTTTTTATGTCTTAGAGCAGATTTGAATGCAGCTTATATCAGTACGTGTAGTTAATCTGCAGTGTGTCCAGCAATATTAAACCTGACCTTTCTCTTCAGTCACTCAAGTGCTGTACTTCAGTACAATGACATACGTGTACTTCACTAGACTATTTCCATTTTATGATACTTTATACTCCACTGCATTTCAGAGGGAAATGTCGTACTCTTTACACTACTACATTTGACACTTGTGGTTATGTTTTACATAAAAACATGATATGGTTATATGATGTAATGCGGTACTATTCTACCCTGTGGTACAATCCATCTAAAAATGGCTCCACATTGATGAGCTAACAACAATGTTGCAATGTTCTTACATGAATTTGTTCATGATGAAAGCAGCATAATGTAATATTCTGTGACATAACACTTTAAAAGGAGCCGTTCTTCATAATGAATACTTTTACTTTTGATAATTTAAGTACACATTGCTGATTATACTTGTGTACTTTGACTTAACCTTTTGAAACCTGGACCCTATTTTCCAATGTTTTTATGTTGAAGTGACTAATGGAGAAATACGTTCTTGAAATTGGTCCAGTTTTGAGAGAGAGCGCTGCAGCTGCAGGTCATTGTACAGTCAATTTATGTCCATTAAAGTGCTTGTTTGTCGCCACTGACAGGCTCAGATTAATATTATAAGTTACTGACAGTGTTAAAGAAAGGAATCTACAGAGTAATCAAAGGTTTGTCTTAACCTTTAACTTGATCAGGTCTGTTTTTGTCTCACTCTGAGAGGTCTAGCTTTGAAATTTCAGACTTTTCCACTTTGTAGAAATCGGCTAAATATTCAGCCATGACACTGCAAAGTTTTTGTAGTTCATTTTTTGTAGTCCTACAACACAAACTCTTGGCACTCCTCTCTCCAGCTCTATCGTTTCCACTGTTGTTATTCCTACAAGTCTCGCGAGACTTCAGAATGAGACTTCTCCTTGAGTGAGTCACACTCAGCACATACTTAAAATAGTATACAGAAGCCAGGTTGAAATCATTTAACATTAAAGCATGGCGCGGCAACCTGTGTGCAAAGTGCAAAAACAAGCTCTCCAAGACTGTCAGCATTGCAGGGAAGGTGAGAAACAGCTCAGCAATGTATCCGACAGTGCTGTACGCAGGAAGGCTAAACACATAATTGCCAATGCCTCACATCCATTACACTCACAGTTTGAGCTGCTCCCGTCTGGGCGTCGATTCAGGGTCTCTAGAGCCAGTCGAACATATATAAGAGGTCCTGTATTTCCTATACGGTACAAGCAATGAACACAGACTACTATTATTTTTTAAAGATATTTTTACAAGATATATAAGCACAACTGCCCGTAGAGCCTCTTTTGACACTGAGTGCTTCTTCCACCACAGTTTAATTCAAATACATGACACATGAATCATTTCAGTGCTCCAGAATGAACCGCTCAGGGCAACATGATGAATACATTCATTTTATTGAATTTTTTACACGTATATATAAAAAATGTGGGTCATTAGCACAGTAAAAACCAACTCCCTTCAGCTGACGCTCATGGACCCTGAGGCACTGTGTTCAGGAAAAAACTCTAATTCATCTAATTTCATTATTCCCCTGCCTAGTCGAAGTGGCTCAGTAGGAGAGACTGTGCTTCGCTCCGTGGGTCTTTTCACACCTGAGAGTCGGAAAGGAGGTTTGCATTTTTGTTACATTGCAGACATTTGATTTGGTAGGTGTGAAAGGGCCCTAAGAGGCAGGAAGAACATGATGTATGGCACCAGCAGCGATGTCAGACTTTCACTTTGTCAGTGTTGCTGCCCGCTATCGTTACATAACGTCAGTGCCACTCAGTTACAGATGGAGCAGGTCAGTGTGAAGTGCATTGTAAGTTGAATGGAAGTTTCAAACAGGCAGCTTGAAGCACTTTTAAAAAGCTTAATCGGTCAGTCAAGATTCTCCGTTACCAGAAAACTGTACTATCCAGCACTATGTCATAACTTGTGACCCATTGCAAAACCCACAGCGGTTTCCAGCTGTTAGTGTGTTTCCCGTGAAACAAAAACAAAGTTTGTTCTTCCTCATCTGATCCCTCTCTGGAGGGAGTTGTCTAAAAATTCAGAGTAGCAGGAGAGGGAGCAGAAGTGCCGCTGCACCGGAGCATCCGTGCCCCCCATGTCGTCCACCAGGACTACTGTGTGAGAGACTTGGTGCAGGTTCATGCTGACCGCTGTCTTGATGTAGAAATTGATGCAGACATGCCCGCAGTCGCAGGTCTTGGCTACTTCGAGGTCGCGACACAAGTGGGCAGGGAGGAGGTGAGGTCCGTATGGTAACCTGCAAGGTGAATCAGAAAGGATAACTTTAAAGGTTGCTGTAAGAACCACAGTAAAGATACAGTATGATACACCGAGCATGTTTTATTCTAACCTGAGGTTGGCCACAGCTCTGGAAGCTATCTCTTGAAGCGGAAGGGGGAATGTAAGTTTCATTGTGTGGTCAAAAGGGTTAGGTTGGATAAACGGATTCCCAAACAGGTCCAGGTTCTCCAGACTCAGCTTACGGAAGTCACTGGGCAACACCGCTAGCTGGTTATGCGCCGCTGACAGGAACCTCAACTTTGAGAGCCGGCCAATGTGGAAGGGCAAACAGACGAGCTCATTGTCATCCAGTTTGAGGTTCACTAGTTCTCTGAGCTGGCAAAACTGAGCGGGGAGGGACTGCAGTCGGTTCTGGCTGAGGTCCAGCAGCTGGAGCGTGCGCTGCAGGGTGGACAGGCACAGGGCCTGGCTGAAGGCTTCTAGGTGGTTATTGTGGAGGATGAGCTCAGAGAGGCAGCTGAGGTCACCAATGGTGGCAGGGAGTTTCTTGATGTGATTGTTACTGAGGTCTAGCTTGCGGAGAGCTGCGAAAACAAAGAACAATACCCGTCCTTAAAAGGGGCAATCCAGCTATTTAAGTATGGTACATCAAAAAAGTTAGGGCTTTTGTAAGAAACAAATTTAAAACACAATGATCAAAATCAAAGCAACATAAGTAGAAATATCTTGCCTTTTCATCCCAAGTTCCTAAAACACTGGATCCTACAGCTTCCATGATACAACTCATCAAGTTTATCATAAATTTTAAACACAGCTGATCCCTGACTGTACAGACATTTCATACTGCTGACATACTTAAAACAGCCTCACTGATGCACATCCAACCCACGATGAGTCAGTGTCTCGTTTGTCACTGTTAGGAAATTTCCACCAGCCGCTAGGCTAATTTATACAATGTAAAATGTCATAGGCTTATGCTAATAGCATTAGCATGTTGTGTTTAAGGGGTAAAGGTGTCTAGCAAAAGAGGGGGGTTGTGTTACAAGCGGACCAGATCAAATGCCTTGTGTGAGAAAGCTGCTCTCGATTGGTCAGAATTTCCATGTGGGAAAAATCCAGAAAGTAAACAAAACCTTGAAGAAGAGTACACTTGCAAGATAAATGTGACACTTTCTAATGTCACAATGGAGGGACAACTATGCAGGTTGATTTTAGCGCTGCTCATCGTGGACTATATTGCTGTCATTGTTCATTTTAATCAAACCATACAGTTTGAAAACGAGGTGCGGCTCCAACTAGAAAACAATGTTTTGATGCATTGGATGTGCTGAATGTGCATATTAAGGCAGTACAGGAGGAGGTGCACATTAATAATCCTCCAGGACTGTAACATGCTGATGTTTAATACAAACAATGTGTAATGCGACTGCAGTTGGTTCGGATCAAAGTCAGAACATGTTCTCACCACGAACGAACCGCACCAGAGTTCGTTTGTAACCGGACTGAGACCACCTCTTCAAGAAGGTCTCGGTCCAGTTGTTTTGGTGCACACCCGAGTGTGATTGCTGTGTTCACACGTGCCCAGACGAACAGCACTTAGGGGGCAAACCAACCTCAGTTTTGACTGAACCGAACCAAATGGCAGGTGTGAAAGCACCCTAAGACATACCAGCTTCTGGGAAGGCAGGCTGCTATACTTGCCCAGAAGGTGGAAGAGCAATGGTTCATTGTTACTGCAAATGTATATCGGTCCCAAATATCGGTTATCGGTCTCCTAGATTAGTGATGATCAGTATTGGAATCACACCGAATGTAAATCAAGCACTAACAAACTCTATCGACCAAAATATAAATCGGCTCGCTCTACCTTTAAGGGACAGCATCCGCATGTCCACCCGTGACAGTTTGCAGTAGGAGACCTGCAGCTGCTCCAGAGAGTAAGGGAAGTTGGAGGTGAGGGGGTAGTCCTTCTTGGAGACGATGGTGAGCTTCTTCTTGGGTTGCTCTACGTCTTTGGCGCGAACAGGAGTCAGCGTGGAGAGAGGAAGGCTGCTCGCGTCACTTCCTCTGTCTGCCAAACGAGCGGCTGAGAGGAAGTTCTTCAAGCTGTTTGCATCAGCCTATGAATAAAAACATGAAGAAATAAATGAAGTTACATGTAAATTAATAGGTTAACAGGTAACAGAAACAGCAGGCACACAGTGACATTCAGGTGGTCGAGTTTGACCGGATTCCTTGAAATATCTAACCTAAATTCACAGGCCTGTAATAACTTGACACAGTTCCTTTGGATGAACATGATATGCTTTTTGCTGCTGGGAATAAATGTGTGAGTGACTCAGCATGTAAAGTACAGGGATTAGACTAAATTTTTTGAATACCTGTACAATCCAGCACAGTCCAATATAATAGACTGTCAACCAGTAAACACCCAAAGACATATTGGGGTGTGAACTTAAATTCATAGTCAAATATTGTGGCTCTGTAGGTCAATTGAAGGTTGGTTTACACATTTCCCACAATTTGTTTCCCCTGTTTGCCTGCCTACTGTGGCGTCAGACTGTTTGTGGGTGTGTGAGCACATGTCTTTCAACAGGACAAGTAGAATCTAGGTGGAAGGCCACCCCTGAAATCAAAACAGCCAGGACGGCTTTACAGCAACTGGAAACAATGAGGCTGCTATGGTGACTGTCCAGGAATCAGTTGCAGTCAAAACAAGTGACTGGGTCTGTCTGGCTGATAAACAAGTGGGTGGACAACTTGACTCTTGTGGCAGAGTTTTCAGGGAAATAAAAATGAAGTTGCTTCATCATAAACCTGAAAATCTTGTCATGCCCTTTCTTATAAACGTCTTCATACTCAGATGGTATTACACCATGCTGGATGTCATACCTTGCTCAAGCAAATGTCAACAGCGGGTTCCTTTAATCTCACAGTGGCCTTGCCCTCCTCCACAAACCAAGTGAAGAACTTCTCTATGTTGTCTTTCAGCTGCGAGAGAAAGTTGGCAAATGTCAGTGATGGAAAAATACATGACACAACAACAGGGCGGGTGTACATTTCCACTCGACCAAGTGTAATTTTGCTGTCTCAACAAGTGCAGACAGGACTGCTGCAAGCATTTTTTAACATTTCTTTAACCTTTTCGTCAACATGCAGGTTTATATCTTTATACAGCTATGGCCTTTTAAATCAGAAGTGTCTGAGGAGCACCTGAAGGCAGAATTTGAGACCATGAAAACAATACTTCTAAGGTTTCCAATCTAGGTTTTCCTGGGAAAGATAATGATGAATTATTAAATAAGCAGATTTATTGAGTGACACAAGGGGATGAGCTACTTGAGAAGCAAAAATATAGTCTAAGTTGCTGGAATGTGTTGCTAATGCAACGTTTGAAACTGTCGATTTAAAAACGAAACTGTAGCATAAGATCTGATGAGTAATATAACACAACCAACTAATTTTCTGTCTGACTAAACTATACTTATACAGTATGTGTGGGTTAAGAGGAATGAAGCATGTAAATTGGATGCCCTTGTAGAAATGAAAATGCTTTATTATAATGTGACCTATACACTGGGTGAACCAGATTGGGTATCAAACTGTTACATTACAGTGAACAACAGTTTATTTTGCTCTTCTCTTCATCCAAATATTATTTTACTTTTTTAAATTATAGTTTAACCCTTTGAAACCTCGAGTGACCTCACTTTTCTTGTGCTGCCTTCAGATACCTTTTGCAAGTATTTAAGGCTTTGAACCTTCAACAAATTGGTGTGATTTCTTTCAAAAACATGGGAAAAAGGCAATAAGCAATTTGGTAAGAAATGTCCCACAAATTGCAAAAAAAAAAAATATATATATATATATATATTTTCAAAAAACTACAGAAAAATAGAGAAAGCTTAGAAAAACTACAGTATATTTAAAAATTATTATTATTATTGTTCTACTTTAATATAACGTCACAGAATTACTATAATTTTTAAGCACTATTTTCAGGTCATTTCCTTGTCATGTTCTGTGTTATTTCTTCTATTTCTTTCTTCTTCTTCTTCTGTGTAGTTTTTAATCTATTTTACCAATTTCCTGCTCATTTTTTGGGTCATTTCTTTTTTTCGTTGCTCATGTTTTTAAAAGAAATCATGCCAATTTGCTCCAGTTTCAAGGGGTTAAGGAGCCAAGCAACAGCAACAACAAAAGCGACAACACCAGTGAATCCAATCCAGCAAATTATAATTATTTATAATTTTAATACACACTGTAAATATGTAAATATTTTTGTACATAGTAGTCAAGTGTTTCTGTTTAAGCACTCTTGTCAGTCTTAGATTATGGTGATATTTTTGTATATGCATGCAGCTCAATCCACACTAAAATCACAGTCTACCACAGGTCTCTTCGTTTTATTACAGGTGATGGTTTTAGCACTCACCATCGTGAGCTATATCAGAATGTGGGATGGTTGTCTCTCACTAATAGAAGGGAAAACATTGTCTCCTTTTTCTTTATAAGGCACTGCTTGGAAAGCTGCCCTTCTACCTCACTTCGCTTTTAAAAACCCAACCCATCTCTTATTACAAACGTTGACAAGTTTTATTTCTTGAAACTCCTCAGATCAGATCAGAGCTCGGTAAACTAGCTTTCAGTTTTTTTGTACCAAATAAGTGGAACAAGTTACAAGAGGTATTTAAATTACGTTACATCATTTCAAATGTATGCTAGATGATATGGTTGTTTTACAGTGTTGCTGTTTGATTTTCTACATTTTACTGTTTTTATTGTTGTTGTTGTTGTTGTTGTTATGTCTCTGTCCTTTACGGCAGACTCTATTCTTAGTATCTGTCTTTTTCATCTTTATACTACTTTTTATTGCTGTTTATAACTCTTGATAGATATTGCTGCTACTTGTTTGTTTTTATGGACTTTTTTCATCACTTTATTGTGATTACTGTTACATACTTGTATCCTAGCCCACTGAATGTGAAGTCAGGGCATTGCTGTAAAAGAGCTTAATGCTTGATTAAATTTCTTCAGCTTTCTTGTCATTGTTTTTAGCTGTATGTCTATTTTGTGTATGTACATTGAAAGAAACCAAAGACTGAGGTGAAATTCCTTGTATGTGCACCACAAACATACCACCCCAATGCAAGAGAATGAAACAGAGGAGGGTGATTTACTAATTCTCCTGAGTTGATATTAATGTGTAAATGTCTGTCCCACCAGATCAGTCACAGGATTCATGACTTAATGGAGCTTTGCTTTCTTATCCATCTTTGTAAATACAAACTTTGCTCTTTACGTCAACCACAGAGCTGATTCAGGTGAATTTAATCTTTCTGTTTACTACCAATCAGGACTCACTGGTGTTTTTAGCACCTTGTCAAGACTGAGCTGCACATAGCTGTAGCTATTCTGCAACTATCTTTATGTTTAAAAAAGAAAACTGGAGAGGATCCAGTTCAATGCCTGGCTGGAGGGACTGAAATATGAGCAGCTCTTACATACACTGAATAAGAAATGTAAAAGAAACTGTCATTTAATACAGTATATAGACTGTTAAATGTAATCCATGTTTCAGGAACTTCATTTTGTATTATATTGAACATGTAGGCATTGGTTAGAAGTATGATTGATGTTGTTTGATGAAGTTACTTAGTATTTTAAAACTTTAACTGGCCATTAAATGCTATGTGAGGGATGAATAAAGTACTCTCAACTAAACCTGAATGTAATTTGGAGATAAACAACAGAGGCCACACACCCAGGGATACATTATATGAATGTAACTATAGCTTTAACAGCCTCTACAGTCCAGACAATAACAACAGTCACTGACCTTGTACTTTGAGCCTGCTCTGTCTTTAGCTGTGCAGATCATCATGTAGATGTTACACCGTTGACTCGTCTTGTCCAAATGCTTCCCGATGGACAGCACAGCTCTCGTCCCTTTGCCTCGACTTTTCATCCCAAACGTGGGCAGCAACCGATTCACCACCTCGACATCACACTGCAGCTTCATTGTAACTGAATATTATAAAAATAAACCCCACCTAAAGTCCGGCTTAACGCCGCGTCAGAGCGAACTAAGGGTTAAAATGCATACCAATGGAAAAAAACTTCCGCTAAGAAGTAGCTAGTGCTGTAACGTTAGTGGAGCTACTGACACAACACGTCCGTCCTCATGGATGTCAACAACCGGACCAGCCCTCCGTACCGAGCCGCAGCTGCGTCCTAACGGCCGGGGGAGACACTTCAGACGGCGGGGGTGCTCTGTCTTTACTGGGCTACTGCGGTAAGTCTGACAGTATGGAGACAAAGTGTAAAAATGTCCTGGATAGTTGTCGGATGTCAGTTGGTTGGTTAGCAGCCGTTAGCAGGATCGAGCGCGCGTGGGAAGTGACGTCATGGAAGGGCTCGTTCGTCTTGGCTCGGGGCAACAGAGCAACAGAGCCTTCTCTGTTTACTTTAACCATGTTTTTAACCTTTATAAGCTTTTTAAAAGTGGTTGTACATAAGTAGAAGTAAAACTACCTCGACCAAAATTGATTTATATGTTTTTTTCCTCAAGTTTCTTTGGGTATTTTTTGTCTTTTTATTACCCTTTTTCTCTTTAGCAGAGGATATTGCAGTGTTTGTTTACCCTCTCATCCAGGTCATCCTCGCTGTCACAAAACTCAGACAGTGCGAGACTGTGCGTCCCACATGATCTCCATGTACAGTAGATCTGAGAGTTAAACTTAACACACTGGGCCAGCTCCAACTACAGCACACACACACACACACACACACACACACACACACACACACACACACACACACTACCACATATCCAGTAACACTCAACTCAACTCAAATTTATTTACACCGATCAGCCAAAACATTAAAACCACTGACAGGTGAGGTAACTTGGGTCCTAGCATTCATGTGGGTGCCACTTGACACGTAGCACCCACCCAAACACCACTGCAGACCAAGCAAACCCCCCCATGGCTATATATCTATATATATTATATGAAAATATAAATAAATAAATGAAAATATTAGCCTATATGAAAATGAATTAATAAGTGTAGCCCTTTGCAATTGAGACATCTAGTAGTTACAAAAAGAAAGAGCTCCTCATGCTTCTTACCTCACTGCATGTATTTGCTGGCTGTAGTCACTTTGCTGCTTCAGATTTTCCACACAAATCACACAGCCATCTTAAAAACATGACACATTGTTTTTCTACTCAGTAGTTTATAAAGTAGTTAAAACTGCAAACAACATTAATGCTGTTTACTTATTTATGCATCTGTAATAATAATTGAGAAAAGTAATATACTGTATAATGTGGATATTTTTCCTTTGCCTGGGGGCCATGTTTGCCAAATGACAGGAGTCCAAAGGCTCACTAGCACTAGCCCCGCACAGGTCAGGTGAACACAGGGTGGTTGCTAAGAGTTGAAGACATTCAGGACTTAGCCCAGAAAGGTTCTGGAGGGTCGGAGGAACCTCCACTTTTTAAGTTTGTGAATCAGTTTATCAATCAATCAACTTTTATTTCATAGACTCAAGGTCCATTTAAAAGACATACACACAGATAGATTTAAAAAAGGCACTCATACCAATTTTTCCACATAGGTGACTGGTACCGCAAAGAACTTAGACGGGGATTTGACAGCAGCATAATAATGGAGTTGTGGGACCCATTCAGTCGACAGATAAATCTGTACATTAGATTTCTCAACAAAGCATGAAACGTATTGACTCTTGTGTTACAAAACAAATCACTTGCAATGCACCACCTGGGCTTTCTAAGCAATATGCGCATACCATCATTATAAGCAACCTGGAGCTTCTGGATGTTTGCTTTTTTAAATTTAATCCATAGGGGGGCAGTATAAAGAGGAGTACAATAAGCTCTAAAAGATTAATCTTAACATAATCTGAACACCAAGAAAATTTCCTAACCAGCATGTTAGCTTGTGCATATAACATACGGCGTTGCCTATATAGGTCATCATCATCTGACATTTCATCATAAATAATGTGTCCAAGGTACTTAGTTTTACTGCAGACAGACAAAAGCTGCCCTGCCAACCAAAAAGAGGGAAAAACAAGGTCCTTATGCCCTTTTACCCTGCAGATCATAACAGCACTCTTACCATCATTGTACTTGACATCAAAATTAACACCATAATTTGTACATATATTCAACAGTTGTTGAAATCCAGCACTGCTGGGAGATAGCCAGGTCATCGGCATACATGAGATGGTTAATTAATGTATCACCAATCATACAACCTGATAGATCATCCATATACATGTTAAAATGGGCTGGTGAGAGAAGTCCTCCCTGGCGAACTCCATTATCCACACCAAACGCAGCAGAGATTACATTCCCCCATTTTATCTGCATGCTCTGGTTAGCATACCAATAAGCCAGAATCCTAGTTACACTGTCAGGCACACCCCTTTGACTCAACTTTAAAAAGAGCTTATGATGGTTGACTCGGTCAAAAGCCTTAGAGGCATCAATAAAACCAAACTGATTGTCTGAGGTACCTAGAAATGCACATAATTTATCTAATAATATTATTTCCAGGACTTTGGATACCACACTGGCTAGCGCAATAGGTCTGTAATTATCCACGCTCCCCACTTTGCCCGCTTTGTCCTTAATAACAGGCACCAGAGTTACAGACAACATGGAGTCAGGCAAGAGACCATGAGTCATAAAGCCAGTAAAACAGATAGCAAGAAGAGCTGCAACCTTCGGGCTTGCCAATTTAAGGTGCTCTGCAGTGATTTGGTCTGAGCCGCTTGCTTTGTTGTCAGCTAGCTGTGTAGCTGCGTGATAAACCTCATTGGCTGTGATTTGCACTATGTCACTTTGAACAATATTGCCCACTTTATATGGGTCACTTTTAACACAATTGAATAGAGCAGAGTAATGTTGCCTCCACAGCTCAGCTATGTTGTGAGTAAGAAAATGGTTGGGGGGCCACCAAGCACCCTATCGTGGGCCAGATTTGGCCCACAGGCCACAAGTTGAGTATCACTATATATTGTAATATTTTTGGTCTGATAATACTTTCATACTATTGCTTAAATTTTGGGGGCAAGACCTTCACCTGTAATGGAGTATTTTTGAAGTATTGCTTTTACCTAAATACATCTTCCACCACTGATATAGTTCTCCTCATCACAGTCTTAACAAAAATCTTCGCAACCGTGTTCAAATTAGCCAGAAAGTTTAAAAATACAGTTCTTGGCCTGATATGTAAAACAACTGTGTCTAATTTCATAACCACTTTTTGTATTCCTTTACAATTTTAAGATAATTCGGGGTTCGTCTGGACAGGGTCAAGTACTTTTTCAAGCACTCATTTTTATTTTCAAGGATTAAGTCGTTTTCTCCACAACCTTCTGTTGCAAGAGAAATGTGCAAATTCATATATGGTGCAAACACATGCTACCAGGGCCTAAAATTAACTTATTATTAATTAACTGGCTATTACTATTCATTAAAGGCATGCAATTGATTGGGGACAACAATAGCAGGAACACTTATAGAGCGCAGAGCAGGATGCAGCTCATACGGTATTAGAAAATGATTGCAAACATGGCTATTTTTGGCTTCCTACATTTTTCTAATGTTTTTTTTTTTTAAATAATTATCATCCTATTATCCTGTCAATGTTATTCAAGTACTTTTTTTGAAGGAAAAATGTCTGATTTTTAAGGTATTCCAGTGCCAAATTCAAGTTATATCAGCACCTAAACCCCCTTGTGCCAGCCCTGATATGTATTTTAATATTGTAAACAAGAAAATCTATCAGGTCCCACAATGTCATGAGACACTGCTTTACCTTTAATAATAATAATAATCATAATAATAATAAACAGGTTATACTTCCTCTATCTCCTCTCTTCTTCTGCTGTATTTCTTTATTTATCTGCTGTGTATTTCCCCAGATTACACTCCAGGTCAAACAACACACTGGACTGAAACTTTTGTTTGCCTCAGTGGTTTATTTGGACCGACCAGCCTCCGTCTAGCAGCCACAATGGGAAGTTGTCGTCTGAAATCAGTGACTGTCAGTGTGGTCCTTCCAGTGTTTTCTTCCCTTGTAGTTGTACTCGAGGACAGCAGAGGAACCAGTGAGCTGTGAGCCTGAGAGTGTCTGACATCGTCGCCTCAGATCAACGTGATCACAGCAGAAACTTAACTCCTAACTTCTTCCATATCAACACACATACACAAGGGACTGTTTGTGACCTTAAATAAAACAATATAAATCTACCACAGTGATATAATTTACTGTAAGATTTAATCAGCCAGTTTGAGAGAGTAAAACCTCACAACCCAGATGACTCGTCATACCATTTATAGGTATGTTCCACTTTGAAAGTATTCCCTTCACTATGTCGGGGTACAAGTGACTCATATACTGTTGTGCAATAATAATCCTTCAGGACCACTTTTATTGCTCACATTTTGACATTCAATTCACGTTCCCACTCACACACCTTCATCAATAAAAGCTTTGTGGTGTTTAATAAAATTATTCGTACAAAGCGAAACAAAGAAAACAAAACACTCATGTCTTTGATTTCACTATGAATCACCTAAAAGACGACACTTCTTGGTAGAAACATGCAACTTGTCTTTTTTCTTTGTATTATTCTTACACACACCTCTAAGGGGCACAGTTCTCACACACATAGTAACACATACAGGTCAATGTGAGAGCGGGGGACGTTTTCCATCCTGTGACTATTTCAAACATATGAAAACAGAAGGATGCTGCGGTCGTGCAGTTATCAGTGGCGTGTGTGCACTGTTAAATCAGATTTGATAGTTACTAATGTCATTACACACTCTGTGTATGACATACTGTTGCTGCCATGAGGATGGTTTGACAGTACAGTGATGCATTCAAATACACACTGTTTGTCCCACACCTGCAGCTGTTTCCATGATAACTTTAATAATATGGACATGTGCAATTCAATACAAGAACTCTTTGATCTTTTGGTGACTCTGTTAAAAAATAGAAGTCTGTATTTAAGTTTCTTTTATTTCATATTTACAGTGGAGCTCCATAAAACTTAATTAAAGGGACAGTTTGGATTTTTTGAAGTGGTGTTGTATGAGTTATTCATCCACAGTAGGGGTGTTGCGATATACTGGTATTGACAACCGTTAAATTTAAAAAATTAAATGTAGATATCATGTTAATCATACACATATGATAATATCATGTAAATAAATCAGCACCTCTTAAATCATCTCCATTTTATTTCTGTTCTTGCTTTATCTCCTTCCTCCTGCCAGACAGTACCCGCCTCCATCATCCTGCACATTCCACCACTGTATGTAGAGTAAGTTGCTCAGCCTGCTAGCCCTTAAATCTGAAATGTTACATGTGTTTTTAAAAGTCAGTTATCATGGCATCAGACCCGACAGTTTTTTCTCTCTCCTTGTTATTTGTTAGGCAGCGTCAAAGAAGCGTAAGGGATTATACTGATGGCAGATGTTCAGCCTTTTGGAACATTTGTTTATCAGTTCATCTTGTTGCTTTTTCATTATCCAATAAGTGTAACTGCTCTTTTTGTAAGCTTTTATACATTTATGGTTACAGACTCTCTCTCCACCTCCCTAGACTCATATTTCAGTTATAATTCATTTGGCAAAAAAAGAGACATATTGCACAATAAACAAAATTAAATATAAATCTGACTGATAGCATCTTTTTAATAAAAATTTTTATGGATATTGCGACACTGTCATTATCATGAATTCTCTTGACAACATAACTAGGTTGTGAAAATCTGGTATCATGCCAGCTCTAATCCACAGTCAGTGTATTACCTGCAGTAGATCGTGGTCAGCACACCCCCAAATTGGAGAAGCAGACTAACTGACACAGAAGCTAAGCGATGTACTGCTGTGGATAGGGGCAACAGCAAAATGTATTTTAGCCACACACACACACACACACAAAAAAATCAGTCTCAGTTTAACTGTTCATTATATTAAAAATGTAGTTTCTTTTTTTACCTTACCGTCAGACAGCCCTTTCCAATGGGGAACTAAAGTGGTTGTCTATGCTCTCTTCATAGCCACCAGACTCCTTTGAGAAAAACAGTAATTTTACCTCACATAACACAGGCATTGCTAGTCTACCATTGCCTCAATCAGTTAGATTGTTTGTGTTATGGTGTGGCAAACTAACCCTTTAAAACAGTGATTCCCAACTGATGGGTCGCGGTCCAAAAGTGGGTCACGGGTCCATTCTGAATGGACTGCAAGTGACTGGCAAATTTGTAAAGTTTGTAACACACTTTATTTTGAAGAACAATGAATTTCGGGCACAGAGCTTTTATTTTGAAGTGCTATTTTCTGCTGAAGAGTGAGTTAATAAGGGACAGCTACTTAGCAGACAGCAAACTAGCTCAACTACATGGCTAAGTATGACGCTGAATATGTTAAACTGTGTGGACCTTGAACTAATGACTAAGGAGAAATCTGGACCCTGTGACTGGACCAGTTGGGAGCCACTGCTTTGAAACACCAAAGTCAAGTTGGTGTTTAGTTTTTAGCTGAACCTTTATTTTTTATTTCATTCTGTAGCTTTGCAGTAGCGTTCTTGATGTATCCAAATCTGAAAAAGTGGAATGTTGGGCAAAGTTTGTATGTTTTAGCCTCAAAATGCTATTTTCCTAAGCCCTTCTAAAAACATTTTCCCATGTGACCTGATGTAGATTTCTATATGATGTCATTACTATATATAAAACCATGGAGTGCTGTGGACTCAACATTAGTTTGGTTAGGAATGTCACACAAAACAAGCCAACTAGGCAGCGGGTAGACTAGCAACCTCCATGTGCTGTGAGGTAAAATTACTGTTTTTGTCAAAGGCCTCTGATGTCTTTGAAGAGAGCGTAGATAACGGCTTCAGTTCCATGTTGGAAAGGGTTGTCTGACAGCAAGGTAAAGCGATGAAAATATTCAAAATATAGTGTACACTTTAACTGATGTTGATTTTTTTAGGTGGTCCTTTTTTTAGGAGGCTAAAATACTTTGTTGCTGCTGCTCCCATCCACAGTCACCAGACTCCTTTGACAGAAACAGTAATTTTACTTAACAGGAGCTCAGCAATGTAACCTTTGTCACCGCTTTTTTGATAACAGCTGAGTAAGAGTTTCAATTTGAAAAAGACAGAAAAGAACGCAGATGGACCTGCCCTTTAAAACACGATTTGCTGCTGCCCCCCTCCACAGCAGTACACTGCTCAGCTTTCATGGCAGTACTCCTGTCTGCTTCTCCAAACTAGGAGCATGCCGACAGACATCTACTGTAGGTAATACACTGACCCCAAGTCAAAAAACCCAAACTATCCCTTTAATGTTGTTCTGTCTTTAGAGCAAACAGGGACCAACACCACTCGTCATGACTGATTTGAATCCCCCTCACTAACAAGTGTCTTTATGTCCTTCACAGAGCCGTCTCCACACAGGACGACCCTCTCCGTATGTAATACCGTCTCACTTCTCTCCCGTCTTCACCCCCACACCCCTCAGCCCGATGCACAATCAGCACAGGAAAGAACCGAGCATCCCTATAAGTCGGTGGACTGTCGCTGAGTGCCAGCTGGCTGGAGTCCGACCGGCAGCACTGCTCGTCCACGCAGCAGGGGTCAGTCAGGTTGCTGCTGCGGCTCCTCCACAGGGCCACGGTGCGATGGGAGCCGTACATGCGGCAGAGGGAGAAGCGGGATGTGTCCGAGGAGAGGTGCGAGTGGAGCAGCGCTCCCTGGTAGGAGAAGATGGAGGAGCAGCTGGAGCTGGTGATGGTCCTCCTCCTGCCTCCTGCATCGCCTCGTCCGTTTGGCTCCCCGCATTGCTCGCAGTCCTCCTGGCTTTGCAGGGCGCCGTAACTCTGAGCAGTCTGGCTGCTGTCCAGGAGGAAGCAGTTTGAGGACGAGGTGCAGTCAGTGTCTCGTAATGAGTTTGAGTCTGCTGTGCTCATGTTTATCAGCATGGCCTCTGAGTAGCTGGGGATCAGCTGACGGTTACAGCGTATGTGCCACTCCATCTCGGTGCTGTCCAGTGTGTCTACTCTTGGGATAACGCAGCCAGTGTTGTTACCCAAAGGCCTGTCTTCATTAAGAGGAGAGGGGCTGCTGTGGCTGTACTCTAACCCAAATAGTTTCTCTATGCGGTAGTGCACATAAGCAGTGCGGTACTCTATCAGCACTCTCAGAGGCCAGGACAACATCAGCAGAGCTGCCAGCCAGAAGGCCACCTGGGAACTGTACCAAGGCATCCTATCTGGGTCCACGTAGGCTATCAGGTTTTCTCTGAAGTCCACATTCTTCAGCTGCATCCCCTCCCTGGCCTCCATGTAGTCGTCCAAACCCTCAATTTCAGAGAAGAACCTGGCTCTCTGGTTGAGGTAGTCGTTTTCTGGTCCGGCCTCTGTGAAGCTGAAGCATTTGGTGAAGCGCAGCCGAGTCGCCGGATGTCCCTCTAAGCCCCTGAGGTCACGTGACACATCTTTCATCCCACAGTGGCTGTAGTCGAACTCGCCCTCAGCCACATGGGTGTTCACTCTCTCATGGTACACCTGCGTGGTGGTGTAGGCGTCCCCGTTGCGGTATCGAGTGACCTGCCGGGTCCGTCTTACAAAGTGGTAGCTGATAGCCTTCCACCATATGCAAGGTTGGGCCTGTTTCATCCGCAGCACGCGCTCATACACGCTGTCCACGTCTGCTTTACTCTGCAGCTCGCTCCTGGCTCTGCAGTGCCAGCACTCCACCATGTATAGGACGTAGAGCATGAGCAGGAAGGCCAGAGGGATGTAGATGTAGCCATCAGAGCAGGGGCTGTCGTGGTAGATCATTGAGTGTCCCCCAACGCCCATCCCGGAGGCCCCCCGCAGGGAGGAAGTGAAGGAGGCGGTGAAGGATGAGGTGAGGGCGGTGTTGAAGCTGATTTTGGTGACCTGGGTCAGCTGACACCAGGCCACCACGCCCAGGCAGCTGTACATGAGCAGAGAGAGCAGCAGGCAGCGCCAATGGGACTCCCGGCAGACACAAGCACCCAGAGACTGGTTCACCGGACGCTGCTGCAGAGAGAGACAGAGAGTAATGAGGAAAAGGCACTTAGAGCGATGAGGCCCTGAAACCTGGCGGTGACATGCTGTGGAAATGCAAATGAATGTGGCTGCACTATAGATCGCCGAGCTTTTCCATAGCTAAGCACAAAGTAAATCAAACCAAAGAAAGCTCAGTGGAATTAAATTAAAACACGCAGTGTCCCTGGGAGGCTGTGAGTCAGAGCGGCTGACATAAATAAATATTAACTGAGGTGTTTTCACACATCTGTCTCTTAAATTAATTGAATTTATATTGCATGAGGGCAAATGTACTGGCTGGTAAAGTTGTCACATTAATATCACAAGGTAGGACTTGTGTATATGTAGACAACATCCTAAAAACCTTGGAGATTAAAGGATACTGTCTGAGTCTTCGCACATTCTCCACACTGAGTACAAGGTTTAACCCTCAGGCAGACAATACAGGATGCCCAAATATAAACTCAACTGTTTTAAAAATTAATTTGTGCCAGCCTCAATTAAGATTTTAAATAATGTTGCTTGATGCTTTAGGGGTTGTGTTGTGCTTTGCTTATTTTGCTCTGTTGTGTGCTGGTGTCTTTAAGGTGTAGGCTACATTTCTCCTGGACTATTATTTGTAAGGCAGCAATACTTGTGCAGCTACTGAGTCCAAGACGAATTTAGCATTGGCCCTGCAGCAGGACAATGCACCATGCCAGCAACACCACAAAACCTGCTCAGGAGTGGCCTGAGGAACATGACAGAGACCTCAAGGCATTGACATGGGCTCCAAATTCCCCAAACCCCAGTCTGATCAAACATGTGTGGGACGTGCTGTTACCCCACCTCACAACCCACAGGACCCAAAAGATCTGAAGCTGTGTTTATGCCTTGACAGGTCAGAGCCAAGTCAGGTCCAAGGCCCGTAGATCGGGGGTTACTTCTGGGGTACCAGCACGTCCCTCAAATATTCGATCAGATTGGGATCTGGGGTATTTGGAAGCCACGTCAACACCTTGAGCTCTTTGTCCCATTCCTTGGGCCATCTCTGAGGAGTTTTTGTGCTGTGTCACGGTGCATTGTCCTGTTGAGGGGGGCCCTGCCTTCAACAAGTGCCGTTGCCATGAGGGTGTGTACTTGGTCTGCAACGATGTTCAGGTGGGTGGAGCATGTCGAGTAGCATCTACATGAATGCTAGCATCCAAGGTTTCCCAACAGAACACTGCATTGTAACAAGACGATCGATGTTATTCATGCTGATCGGTGTATAACAATATACGATAAAATAATATCATACAAACAAGGGCAATTCTGATGCACAGGTGGTACATTTTTACTTAAAAATGATACTTTAACATTGTGTCAATTTTTTTATTTATTACTTTTATTAAAGGTCCAGTGTGTAGGATTCAGGGGGATATACTGGTAGAAATGGAATATAATATAATAAGTATGTTTTCTTTAGTGTGTAATTGTCATGTTTTTGTTGCCTTAGATTGAGCCGTTTATATCTATATAGGGAGCGGGTCCTCCTTCATGGAGTCAGCCATGTTTCTACAGTAGCCCAGGATGGACAAACCAAACATTGGCTCTAGTTAGGGACATTCACGTTTTTGCGTTAGCCACCTTAGTTAACAACCCCACTGCAACAAGAGCTTTGCAAAAACATGGATTTTGTAATGTTAAACTGCTTTATTAAGTGTTAATACTGGTTTTAATCATCTTGTCACTTTGTTTTAGAGAGGAAGAGACCTCTGTGGATAATTCAGCTCCTGGTAAAAACCTCCTGAACAATAAACACCGAAGGAAATTTAACTGGGAGAAATTTCAGCTGGTTGCAATCTGCAGTCCTCACCACTAGATGCCACTAAATCCCCTGAAATTGTACACACTGAATGTTAAAGTAACATTTTAGGACTTTTACTTGAAATGCAGTATTTTTTAAAGTGTGACTTTGCAACTTTTAGCTAATAAAAAATCTGAATACTTCTCCCAGCACTGCTTGAACACACACACACACACACACACACACACACACGTCTCTACTCTATATCTGCTGAGTATTGGGTGGTTAGCTCAGGGCAGACAAACAGAAACAGAAAGTGCTCACATTTGCAATACTGACCAGAAGTCAGATTGTCCCATTCAGCAAAGACACACCGGCCTAAAGCCATTTCATCAGTAACACTAACAGTAAAAGAAGCTGGAGCGTAACCCGTTACGCACAAAGACTTCAGACCAGGACTGCAACATTTACTGTGCTGCAAAGGAGGGTACAGCATTCAAAATTAATCTCATCCCATATTTGTCAGTCACATTTATCAGGAGCCCAAAATGACTTCATGGTCCTGTCTAATATTTCTGTCTGGTTGTGGTGGTGACAATCGTCCCCCATGAGATGCTGCGTTCTCGTGGTCTACCTCTGGTGTTTTATGGAGTGAAACGATTTATGCTGACAACCAGCCCATCCATTACTGCGCTGACACAGGGGTGAGGACGTCACTTTGCTGGTTCCACCTCAGTTATTTATGGAGCAAACAGGGATTCAGTTCTTGTGTGCCACAGGAGACGGACTTTCCAGTTGAGCAGGCCTCCTGACTGCAGACATTACAGACTAAATACAGATTTTATTTATTTGAAAAACACTGTGGGATGATTTCTGTATATTTTTTGTATGTTTTTATACATAAAACAAGTCATTTAAAAGAATATAAAAGCCCTAACTAACTGGATCTTATGTCTGCGAAAAAGACACAAGCAATTGTACTTTAATTTACCCTGCAGTATAAAACATGACTTAGCAGTTACATGGACAATGACTCTGAGGTAAGACAACTCCCGTTCTCTTACTATCCATGCATGGCTGGCTGCACACAACCAATCCCTGCAGATGGGATCACAGTAATTACTCCATGACAGTAAAGACAGGGGTCATGGTAAAGCAAACACACACACATGCATGATCAACACATGAAAACCAGGGTCTGACTTAGCAAAAATAATTGCTTGCTAACTTAACAACTGTCTTTGTGAATACAGTGCATGCTTTTGTGATGTTTCCACATCAGTGAATTGTAGTGGCACTGTATGAAATGGACTATTCTGTCAGTTGAGCAAGCAGAGAGGCTGTTTGGCTGCAGGTGGAAGCGGCTGCACTGAGAGGATGTCAATATAGGATTTATGGTCCCAGAGAGCACAGAAATCAAAATGTGTGTGCTTTAAATCTGAGTTAGCTGCATAATTTTAAAGGTATTTGATAAAATAAGCTTAAGAAACTTGCACCAGAGAGTGGGCTCAGAATTGCTGTTACACTTTTCTAAAACTAATCAATTGATCAGACTGTTTCCAGCTGATGTTTCTTCATGTTTCTGCTTCAGAATTAGATAATGCATGGCTCTACACCTACCTCCTCCAGGACATCACTCTCAGCCGGTGAGTCCTCCTCCTCCTCCTCCTCCTCCTCCTCCTCCTGCTCCTCTCCCTCAGCATCATTGGGAGCACTGGCCGC